CAAGATAATATACGCCCACCGGCAGCTTTGATTTTGAATAAAAATATTTAGCAATATAGTAACAATCACCAGTATGAAATATTCAACCTACACTTCTTTTGAACTCTTTAGGGCGATACTGAATAATATTAAGTATGAGTTATTACTCTTGTTTTTGAAAACTCTAGAGGGCAAATATTCAATCTGAATAATAAATCCAAGTTTTGTCAAAATCAAGTAAGAATCATGCCTTTTACTGTTTACAAGCTAAAAATTGAACGTGTTTTCAAGAACAAGGGCAATAACTCATACTAAATATTTTTCGTTTCTTCTGATTTTCTATAGGGTTTATCCTTGGTTGATAACAAACACTCATGCCAAGTTTCGTCAGAATCCATCAAGAATTGTGCCTTCTAGAGTGTTTACGAGCTGCAAATCGAACGCGTTTTCAAAAACAACGGCAATTTCATGTGTAATAAATAATAAAACTTGACATCAAATACCATCCTTTAATCAAAAAAGTTTGGACTTCATCAAGGGAAGAAACAAACTACAAATGGTGGGAGTGTAATGGCCTACACTAAAAAACAATACGCCGCATGGGGGCGCTGATACGCAACTCGGTCTTTAATAAACCGGAAATAGAACTCTATAGACGCTTAGTGGCGGGATCTGTCAAGTTTCGATAGTAATTTCTGTTTCTGCAATGCCGACTGAATGTTGTGTTCCGCTTTGTAATGGTAGAGGGGGGCATCTATTTCCTAAGAAAACTTCTGGTCGGTACAAGCTATGGAAAACTGCAATGCGAAGAGGCGAGAAAGACTGGTCACCATCTAAGCATGCAGTGGTTTGCAAAGCTCACTTTGACGATGGCGACTACATGGGACAAACATGTTCAGGTAAATCATATTTGATATCCTTATCTTATAATAAATAAATTGGCAAAATAAGTGTCTTTTTTGGGGTTGAAATTTCCTTAGAGTGAAATCTATTTGTATTAAATGTAAACTTACAAAAATTATATTTTTATCAACACTAAGGCTAAGCCATTCTATAACCAACAGTACTATTGTTGAAGGGTGTAATTAAACTGGTTTTAATTGTAATTAGTTGTTTTCAGTTCACAGTATTAAACTAACAGTTACACTTCACTGCCTTTTCTACCTTTCTATATCTTTTCTCTGTTTCTGATCTTTATTCATCTTGGTGTCTATATTTGTTCATCTGAGCTGTAATGACCCCCTGAGT